AATATTATTATTATTATTATTATTATTATTATTATTATTATTATTATTATTATTATTATTATTATTATAGCATAACTTGATATTTTTTTTGGTTCCTTCCTTTTTTTATTCGCGTTAATTGTTTGTCAAAATAAATTTTCCCAGTAGAAACTGTTTAATGAAAATTTTCGTCATAATAGCATAATATTGTAAAACCGTCTTGCTTTTGACGATGAAAATTTGTCACGTAAAAAATACAAAAAATATATACGATGTATAATATACAGATTCAGAATTTTTGCACGTATGTATAATTTGGCATTTGTACAAGAATATCGCGTAATATTAAAATTCCTATATAATATATAAAAAATAGACCGTTACGCATATTATCGTATTATCGATTTTTTTCAACAATTTCATTAACAAATATTAAATATTCATCAATGTTACGCCATAATTATCGAACGAAAAGAAGAAAAAAATTTCACCCGAGCAAAAAGAAGCCAATAATAGCCACGCTATTACTTCTATTAATTTTTCTTCCCTAAACAATTATTTTCATTCGAGCAAATTTTCTATATATTTCGAATGTGAATTTCCAATATGTTTACATTTTTACATTGATAAAAATCGTAATATTATTGGCCGCTTCTGTTTTGTTTCCTGTTTGCGTGAAAACGTTCATACGCGAGATATTTCAACGAAATCCTATCCGAATTGAAATCCACTTGAAAATGGTTTCGGATTATTTTTTAAAAAATCCATGTTCCATTCGTTGTTGAATTTCGAGCAAAAATTTTCCATCACCGGAACAGGGGGGAGAGAAGGGGAGAGGGAGAGAAAATTTTGTGAAACTACCCTCAACCGTTTAAGTGTTGCTCATTTCGGGGGATACATGATATATTCCGGGGGATACCGTCAGAATTTAAAAATCCGTGCCCTCATTAACGCGAGTTCCATTAAATTTTCGAATTAATTTTTCTCTACCACACTCGTTTCATTCATATTTCTCCTTTTCTAATATATATATATATATATACTTGATATACTTTGTCGTACGTATTTTTTGCTTTGATCCACATATCACGGACATTATCGACGACGTGTTACACGTCATTGCAAGCAAATATTCTCGACGAAACGAAAAATTTAAAAAGCAAGAGTTATCCAATATATATATATATATATATATATATATATATATATATAGTAGCTGGTTATTTTTATTGCCCTCTTTTAACCATCTTTCTAATTTACATCGAATAATAAACACTTGTTAATCCGATTATTCAAATTTAAATTTAAATTTAAAAAAGAGGAGAGAAAGAAAAGAATAATATCACGCGACGAACAGCAACGCGACAAATGTTATATATTATGAATATATTCACGACATTCTTCTTTCGAAATAAAATATTCAGACTGTGTGTAAAGACAAAAGGGATAATGAATAAATATCTCCTTTGGAAGGGAGGGGGGAGGAGGGGGGAAACAATAATGGACAGATCCCGTACACGCGGAAGATTCCCTTTCCACCGATGAAAATAATTGCTTGCACACGCAACGGCTGTCCACTTCATCAGGATCTACTACGTACCTACCATCCATTGTCCGTCAGACGTTTTCACGGAATTGTCGGCTTTATAACGTCACGTCATTTACCGTCGAGGCATCTTGGAGCGGGGCGAAGTTGTTGTCTGGCTAACACAGGCCTGCTTGCCCGCGAGACAGTGAAATCACCGTCCTGGCCATTGTGTCCGTCGTGATGTGCGGAAGGGGTGAAAGTTTTCGAGGGATGATAGGCGCGAGAGCTCCTACGTGAAAAATATCTTTTATTAGGATTGCGCGTTATCTCGACTAGAGTTTTCCTCTCTACGAATTTTATTTCAAAGTTGTATAATTGTATAATTTATAAAAAAAATTGGTGTAATTATCATTGATCGATTGACTTGTTGAAATTTCATTCAAGAGGTGGATTTGATTGGTGATTGTAAGAAATATACAGGGTTTTATTTAAATTTTAATTTTTTTTTTTTTTGGAATATTTAGAACGAAAGGTTTAAAGGTTTGTCCAAAAAGGGTTTCTCTTTTTTTTTTTTTGTTTACTCTGCTGTATATTTTTTGCTGTATAAATTATAGTCGCCGCGCGTTACGATCAAACGAACGAAAAGGAATTTTTGTATGTGGGATATAACGAAATAAAGTGATTTTACCAACTGGTCGGGAAAATTTAACCGAACAGCGTACTGTGTTAATGTAGGAATAAGTAATTAGACACGTACAAACTTAACTAGACTTTTAACAAGTTCGTTTTAATCTTCCCTCTCGAATCGAGTTGCTCGGGGATAACTTTCTATTCCTTTTCTGGTAATTGGTAATCGTCTGAAGCGGCTCGTGGAAACTTAAAAAAGAAAGAAGAAAAGAAAAATATTTAATACTCGAAGCAAATACGGGATGAAAATAAACTTGCGAACGAACAAATTTCCAAAGCAATACAATTTCAACGATCAAAGATAAAAATCGAAGTCACATATTTAATAATTATAAGATATAACGCCCCGATCATTTTAATCGTTATATAAGAAGAGAGAAGAAAAATTCAAAAAACGGAATAATAAAAATATACAATAATAAAAATATACAAGGAAAAAAATTTCGACAAATTTTCACCCCCTTCCTCCATGGGAATATCGGAATTCACGACCTCGAACGCGCCGCCACCTCGTCGTTTCAACCCTTTCTCGTCTCAGCAGACACTGTTGAGAC